AAATGCAGAAAATACTGGGGAGAAGATGCTGAAGCATAAAAAAAGAGAAAAAAGTCGGCAAAATGTAATCTTACGAAAAGATGCAACACATTGTGTTCTTTTCACTTCAATACATCCCCCAAATACAAATATTTAACTATCCATACAAATATTAATATCCCCCAAACACAAATATTAACTATGAACACTGCTATATTTCTGAAAAATTGCCATACACTAAAATCCTTTCCCCAGTTATTACATTCTAACAATAGATTTCCCTTTTCCTACATTGTCACTGATATACCTCTAATCAGGGAGTGAACCTAGGTGAATATCTACATCATTCATAAATAATGGTCATGATTATAACCAGTGGTCCAATAATACTCATGTTTATGATAGTAAAAATGAATCTCTATTCACGGTCAGATACCTCCTATAAGTCCTACAAATACTTTAGGAAAAAAATAAATAAATAAAATAAAAAAAACTTGACACCACTCATGATAGAAAAACTGTTTGCAGATGAAATTTTACTTACACTCAAGACCTACACCTCATCGTTTTATCACATATAACAAAACAAAACAAAGTAGCAACATAAAAATTAACACAACATATTAATCACTGTCTTTACAATACTTCAATACTTATCAATCATACTTATAAAAACTAAAGGCTTGAAATCTTCATTCGCAATAAACCAATCAAAAATAAATGCAATAATGATATCTAAATTATTAGATGTCCTTTACATATGATATTTCTTTCCGACTGCAAATGAGAAATCATCTTCAGGAGTGGCTTGTAGTAATTTCTGACATCGAGGACATTTCTTACTTCAATAAAATAGAATGTACATAACTTACAAATTAGATGGTGTAACAAAGGTCTCAATTCATAGGATTTTTAAGCAATGAAATATAATCCGCAATTTCAAAATAAAATGAATAAACCCAAGAAAAATTAAAAAGAATACAAATATTATTACTAGAATACCTGCAAGTTGTCACAAGAAAACAGAGGGTTTTCGTCCATGTGCTGAAGTAGACGACCAGGAGTGCAGATAATTATGTTACATGAATCCATTCTATGCTTCTCAAAATGCAAATCTTTTCCCCCTAATAAAAAGAAAGTCAATAATTGGTCTTTGTTAACATGACAAATCATTAATATAGTAACAATTCTGTCACTCACACCCATACCTATGATGAGACCAGCAGAAAAATCATGATGACGCCCAACTTTTCGTAAGGTTTCAAATATCTGGTACGCTAATTCACGTGTAGGAGTAATAACAAGAGCACCAACGCCATCAGCTCGAACCCATTTTTTGAGGTACAGTGTTTCCAGTATCTAAAAGAAAAGCCTTTTTTATATTTTACACAATGTATTGATTCCCAAGGGTGATGCTTAGGTAGTAAAAGATTTATTTTCTAATTTTAGAACGATTTATTTACACTTATTAAAAATCATAATTCAGTCTATCAGTGCATGATTAAATAGAACAAAAGTATACCATTTGCTTCCATTTGAATTTAAACTGAGTCCTAGCTTCTTATTTTTATTTTCATTAACAACCTGTTCATTAATAACCATTCATTTAAAAACCTGTAAGGATTTCATTTGCCACACAATCTTATGTATTAAAATAATAAAAGTCCCAGAATTTTTTTTAATTTAAATTTTATTACACAGGTTGTAATATTATATATTATAAGCACAATGCATTTTCTGCAGAAGAATCTGTGAGTGAGCATCTCATAAGATTACTGTATGTAGAAAAGGAATTTTCTAATCTCTAGAAGAGGACATCTCTTCTATAACATGGGAAGAAACAAGTGAAAAAATGAGAAAATAATTATTGAAGTTTGACTGAGCTAAATGAAAGAAAGACTTAACATTTTGTATGGAATGTACATAATCCATTTTTTACCATTTATTTTTGCGTATTTCCACATTAATTTTTGGTTTTATCTTACCTAACGACTTTTTCCTACACAAAAGTAAATTAAGTAATCTCTGTTTGATGAACTTATACACAAGACCACATCTATAGAAAATTGTAATAATAATAATAATAATAATAATAATAATAATAATAATAATAATAATAATAAATTTAAAAATTTAGTACACCTCATTGTTCTTTCATAATAGTCATAAATACTCCAACCCTGTACAAACAGGGGTCCTCTTCAGATAATATCATTTTACAATATATTTAAGTTCACATCAAGACCTGCCTCTATTAGACATGAATTGCTGGCAAAATAAACTATTTCTCCCAAAAAGACTCTTAAAAATATTGTTTGTAATAATTAAAAATAAAACAGGTCCAAGTATTGTACCTCGTGAGACGTATAAATTATTAATTTATCTTTACTGATTATTTTCTCTGGGCATGGTTGCTTTTAATGACTTAAAAAAATTCTATGCCACTAAAACTCTGTTTATACACTTTGTTTAATAGCATTTCACAAGATTAATAGAAACAGGAGACTCTCCCCTCCTACCTCTCACAGCAGAAAATTCGCACCTTTGAAGGGTCAACTCATTCTGTCACTAGAATTTCAGTACTCTACGTATTGGAAATAAGTTACCTTCTGGAATATGACAATTGCATTGGGGATCCCAGAAAGCTGCCTTTGTAACAGAGCTGGCCACGCTTGCAAGAGAGAGAACCAATGGAGAAGGGACCACTTTTTAACGAGTCATTGTATATTATTTTTTTCAATCAATCCGTATTTGTAATTATTCAATACCAAAAGTTTTATGACACGTTTACCTTTTTGTATCATTACACTTCACTTGATTGTGAAAATTCAGTGAAGCTCAAAATTTTGGAGAGGCAACTGCCCCTCACCCCCACTCTGCATATTGCTGTATTATAATTTATGAGAACGTCAGTTGAATCATTATCTTTTCAGTCATTTTGGGTCCAAATTCAGTATATATATATATATATATATATATATATATATATATATAAAAAGAGAGAGAGAGAGAGAGCCATACTTCAATGCAAAGGCAGAGCTTTAAGAAATTAATTCGACAAAGAAATGTTAAGGAAAACCAATGCTAAAACTAGTATGTCAAGATGATTTTTGCATGCAGTGAAGTGCAGTTCCTAAAGCAAAGAAGGTCATTGGGATTTGTTGCCCTTTAAACTTTTTCCTAGCATTTCAAACACTCAACAATCATACCTTCCTCACTATGATGTAAACACTTGAAATAATAACGAATTGTTCCATGTTCGAATTTGTAAGGTAATGTGATAAAAACAAAAACTGAAAATGTACACAGTATAATTTGGTTAGTTTCAAAATTTTTTTGTAAATTACAAAATTCCAATAAATAAGTCGCATTGTGCACTAAAATGTTGATCTTAAATAATTTTTATAGTTTTATACCTTATACAATAAAATTTTCAGTAGACAACTGAATCAAGTTCATAATTTCTATTTTGTATTTGTCAGTTACCATGATTATTTGAACTCAACATTTTTTACAACAGTTTTTACAAATTACTCTTTAGAAGAAAAAAAACTATCTTTTTTTATCTTTTCTTTTCTTGATAACAATGTGTAAGCATGAAATTAAAGAAATGTAATATAACAAGATTCTATACATTATAAGTTTAAATTTTATTTATTTAACATTAGAAAAACTGATAAAAATTGTGTAATTGAAACTGTGCGAGGTGAAGTTATAATGAATAGTTATATGTTCTCTTCTGAAATCCTAATCCTAATCCAATATTCAAATTTTTCATTACATGTTTTGTACTACGTTACATATTTTGCCTAAATTCTTCACATTCTATATTTTTTATTATTCTGCCAATTTTCTTAAATTTAAAAAAAAAAAAAATTCAATGAATTTCAAAAGTAGTTCTAATTGAGATTTGTTAAAAAAATCAGCATACAATTTTTTTCGTTCATACAGTGTGCTGATAACACAAGATACCCTCTACGAAGACCCACTCAGATGCACACTATCTGTTTGGGTTAACTTCCATCTGCACATCATGTATGCTGTGACAAACTTGTGAGAGCATTGAATAATTACTTTCAGGTGTGAAAGAATCACTAACCTCATGTTTTTGTTCTTTAATCCCAATTTCCCCAAAACCTTGGATGGTAAATACATGCAACACTACAAATACAGCAATTGTTTGCCAGTCATTTAGTTCTCACATTTATACAATGGCTATCATTTCTCTCACTGATAAAAATGAACCTTGCTGTGGCTTGGAGTGTATCCTTCTGTAACTATTATTTCAAATTAAGTAATCAAAGCCTAACGCGTAACATCCAGGCATGCAATGTGGGCGGGCCAGGTAAAAGAGGGTCCAGATTGATTTATTTAGTCAAAAAACCGTAAAATATGTTTTGGGGGCCTAGTTTTAGGGGATATTTTTATAATTTAAGGTACTATATTATTTGAATTTGCTACACACTTATATCAATAGGGACCAGACAAAAGTTTTGCAGGCGGACCCACATTCTTATAATTATGCTACTAGAATGGGGCTACTAAAATGAATTTTCAGTTATTTCACCTCTTACGAACTGTGAACCTAATGTATTTGTGGCTGAAGTTCAGTATACGGTACAACTTGTAAAATGTCAGTTTAAAATTAAGTTAGTTATTCAACTAAACAATTACGGTTCACATATTCAACAATTTATTTCAGTTTAACTTATCAGTAAGCATTAACAGAACCAACTTACTGGTATGATGAATGCAAGAGTTTTTCCACTGCCAGTCTTTGCTGCACCTAAAACATCCAGACCTCGTAGAGACAAGCACAAGCTCTCTCTTTGTACTTCTGTAGGTTTTACGTATTCACTATCTCTTAAGCCGTATAAAGTGTTTCTTGAGAGAGGTAAATCTTTGAATTGGTTAACATTCTCTGAGTCAATCTAAACAGATAAAAAAATTTGTAAATTAAATTGGAACAATCATCAAATACTCTTAGAAACAAATATTTGCATAATTTGCATTATATTTACATTTTCCAATGCATTACGAATTCTTTTCATTTCATTTTCTTCGGATTCTTTTTTGAATTTCCGCCTATCATCATAAGTTTTCTTCACACCAAACTTTCCTCCTTTGCCTCCACGATTAGTCCTTTCTTTCATGATTTATTAAATAAAATTTCAACAACTGTATATTTCAGTGCAATTATTTAATATTCCACTCACAATTACTACTCGTGTATGTCCAATTAGTAAAAATAATCATTCCATTTAATAAATAATGAAAATAAATTCCTTGTCAATGATCTTTTTTTATTGGCATTCACCACACTATCAAAATGTCCCAGCACACTGTCATTGGTATCGGATCAAGAAGACATTTCTTCAATTACAAAAATGTATTCACAATTTAATACTTCCAATAACACACAATATATAACCTGATTCTGTATAACACGTGTATTCTGAGAGCACGGAGTACACCACATATATACCAATTCAACAGTAAAACTTATACTGTGTACACATATATGAGATATGTTACTTACATCATCAAGCAAAATAGACATGGAATAAATATATCCAGAACACGTGACAAAGATATTCCGAATGACGTCCAACGTTTGGCGGGAAAGTCTTGGGTGGCTACCTTTGTCACGACCTCTGCGATTCCTAGACTATTGCTAGGTTTTGGGCTGTATTATGCAGTTGCCGAGGTGCATGTGTCTTATCACATTTGTTATTTATAATGATATTTACTTTCTTTCAGTTTATTAGGCTCTAGCTGCGAGTTTCGTCGACAAATTGGATTTGAAAAAAGCAATACTTTATCAACACACAAGTCGCAAACTTTTATTTTTGAAAACGGTTCGAAGTAAATATTATCATGAACTTAGTGATGATGCTAAGTTTATGCTTTATAATAAAATGTATAAAACATTTTGTTCCATTTGCACTTTCATCGGTTATGAAAAGTGTTAACGAATTTCGAACGCCTGTGCAATATCATTATGTTAGTGAAGAAGTTTCTCCTTCCGGAATATTTTTATAAACTGTTGGCTTTTAAAATATTTATTTAAAAAAATTGTATTAACTATTATTATAGAGAGAAGTATTACCTACGTAAAGCTTTAAATATCGTTTGGAAAAAGTCCAGAATGTTCGTAATAACAGACCCAAAAGCGTCTGGAATTTTTCACTGAGTGGAAAAATTTTCAACCAGTTCACCAGACTTTAATATAATTTAACAATTAATTTTTCAATGTATTAATTGTAATCAATATATGGTTGTTTAAAAATATAAATATACTTCGATTTTTTTGAGTGCCCGATGACATTAGGTCTTTATTACAACTCTCTGCCTTATAAAATGAATATATGTGAGAGTACAGAAGAATTAGACCCGCATCCACAACTTCTTCGGCTGCTCTGTATTCCTGATTTCAACTAATCGTTATCGTGATAGTACATTTTACTTCTCCAAAGTGCCTACAGCCTCATTTACTGAAGCTATATTGCCACTTTTGTTTAAAACAGTCAGTACCGCCTTTTGTGTTCTGTAAATAGAAAATACCATTTCGCCGTTGTTGTTGTTTTTTTTTTTTTTTTGTTTTTGTTTTGTTTACTGTGCATCATGGAATTAAGCACACAGACAATTTTATTGTATTTGCCGACCGCCTGCCGTGATCGTACCATGCTGTGGATACACCACAGGTACATGAAAGGCCCCACCTAGAGTGCACGCTCCTACCGCGCTACTCGTGACCTTCGTCATCCGAGCAACGCACGAATACGCACCAGCCCGAGCGTGATTTTTGCGTAAAGCTCGAGGTTTACAAGCAAAAAACTAGTGGTGCTACAGAATGGTACAGACTTTCCCGTATTAGTTTTCTATTTCCTTTGATCTGTTAACTATGCGAACTTGCCACGTATTCTTGCCCGCTGCCATTTATAGCTGCCGAAGTACATTTTTTGACATTTTTTTAAGTTTTTGGTTTTCTAGTTGTAGAGCGGAAATATTGTGTTAACATTATTAAAGAACAGTAAAACTTCGTCCTAATGGGAAAAATTTGGAGCCGTAAAAAAAAACATCAATTGGCGTTTAAGCTTGCTGAAGGAATCATGGAACACAGTTTATAACGCTGTCGACACAAATGCAAAAGCGCCACAGTAAATTCGAAGCTCTTTTTCATAGCAATTTTTTAAAGTTTTCAAAAATCTTAAATTGAAGTAATTTTAAGCACTTTAACTCACAAATACAATCATATTTACAAATGGCTGAAAATGCGCATATCAACGGCGTGAGAGATCTTTCAAAAAATTTACGTTTGTGTATTTTTAAAAAAAATACACAAACGTAATTTAACGTACATTTCTTTAAATACACCGAAATTAACTTCACGTCGTATTAGAGTGCAATTACCACTATCCGTTCGAAATGTTTGCAGAAAAAATTTGAAATTGTTTTTGAGAAAATGGCATTTGGGCATTTCTGAAAATGCAGAATTTTGATCTTGTTTTCACAGAAAACGGTACAGTTTCCAAGAAACTTAAATGATATTATTTAAAGCACATGTACTCATAAATAAAATAATGTGAACAAATTGCCACTGATATAAATATTAATAATATAAAAGGCAAGTCAAAAAATTAAATATTTGTAATTTTTGAAAAAACAAAGGAATAAAGCTAAACGGTATTTATGTCATCTTGTAGAGTCCATTTAGCACTATCCCTCCCAAAAGTTTGAAGAAAACATTCGGAGCCATTTTAAGAAAATCTTGTTTCGTAATTTTTTTAAATCGCACATATTGCACACAATATTGCGCGAAAACTAATACAATTTTCAAAAAAAATGTGCATGACCTTAATGAAAGACCGTACTATGGAGAACAAATTTTATTTGAAGGACAAATATATATCTTTAATTTTGTAGTTGTAAGAATACACCGAAAAAATCATATTTTGACATTTTCAAAAATTCTAGTTAACTGTAAAAATCGGACCTTTGCAACGTTTATAAGTATATATTACTCTATTCTTAAAGAAATTTAAAGAAAAATTGGAGCCGTTTTGGAGAAATGCTACACTACACTACATGCTACACTACATCCTTCATTTTTTGTTTGCATATGTTTCCCCTCATTTGGCTGCCATTTTTATTGCCTGATTCAATGATTGGCTTCTCTTGGACTGAGCTGCCCTATTTTCTTTTTTCCCATGTTCCTTCGGAAACAACCACTCCCACATAGCTTCACTTAATACTACACTTTCTTCTTTCTCTTAGGCTTTGAATTTTTTCCTGTCCTGCATGGCTCAGACCCTTCTGCTTGGAATTTCCATCCCTGTGCCAGGAGTTTTTAAAATAAATATTAAAAAAATTCTGTGGTGGTAGCAGATATCTTGTGGTAATCCATAATATGGTAAAGGAAATAATCTCCACAAAAGTTTCTATCAGAAACTTTTGTGGAGATTATTTCCTTTACCATTTTATGTATATTAAAACCTTTATAAAATGTTTTTTATGTGAATATTCATTAATAAAATAGTTTATTGAACTATAATGTTTGATTTTCAAAATAAATTGAATGGAACAATAAGAAACCAAACGTATTTGTAAATGAGAAATTTAAAAAGAAATTTCCTCTTTGTATGCAATTTGTTAATTTACATCTGCATTGGAACAATGATTTATTCTGTCACAATTAGTGTTTTTTAGAATTATTCATAATTAGGTTATAGTTTTAAAGATATTTCTGAAATAGTGCCCAGTATGGTTTTGTGCTTGAACGCCTACAGTATCTAAATCCACACATGGGCAAATTTATTAATTACACTTGTAATTAATAATTACATTTTATTGAAATTATAAGAGGAACGATATATTAAGCTTTTAGTAGTTTTAGTATTTTAATAGAAATCCTTTTTCTCTTCAGCACTATATTTTATCTAATTATTTGCAATTCCTGAACAGTGGTAATGCATTCTGTATGGTTCTCATGACTTATTTTCAAAACATTTAAACCTCTTTTCATTTTGAATGTAACATCAAGAGAAACGATTACAAAAGACTATGCCACTTGGAAATCTCTTTTGAAGATTTTATCTCCAAGAAAAAATAATTTTATTATTGAAGGTCTCGTCTCAATAATACATCCCTCAAAATTGTATGATGCAGTAATTTCGTTTTATCAGCTTGAGTTTGATATGTACTTTACACAATAATCTGCTTCTACAATTTGTAATTTTGTAACACGATACAAAAGTATACTGAAAACCAGAAAATAGTTTCTATGATTTACCTAACTGAACTGCTGGAAATAATATGGCACATTGCAATTGCCAAAATAGGTTTAAAATTTCAATCAAAACTATTAAAAAATTAAAAATTGATCACAAAGTTAAATTAATTAAACAAAAATAAAATAGGGGAATAATAATAAAAACAAATTATCGGGATAAGAATAATAAAAAGCAGTAGGAATCAATGATTACGATTTCTGTCAACTTACAATATAAAACTTTATACAATCTTCGAGAGAACCAAACTGTTGATCTTGTTGTTAAGCAATCGAATAATCTAAGGTTTACTCTATCATTGGCTTAGGTAATTCAAAAAATAAAAATTAGAGAGAAACAAACATTGAAAAAATATTTGAAAACTTTTTATTATGTCACTGTTCATATAATATTGGGGGTATTATTACGTTCTCTCTAAAATTCCGCTTTGGAACAAGCATGAGCCCTTAACAGTCATGTCGATTTCAATAGAGCATTGCCCTTTACGTAAGACTTTATGCCCCACTCAAACATGGAAAATTCTGCTATTATTTGCAATCACTGTACAAAAATATATAGATATGTCTATAATGTTACTTTTTATGATTTTGCTTGTCTTAATTGTGTAATAGTGCTTTTTAATGTTCAATCTTTATCTACTATCTACTAGAGAATATCTCACTCTAACTACCTAAATTGATGTACATACACATGAGCCTTGAAAATAAAGAACTAAGAAAGCAAATCAGTGAAGTAGAATATTTATTTTTTTGAACAACAATGTGGCTGAATCACATGCAAAATTGAGACAACATATCTTGAACGAAGATTGCTTGAACAATGTCTTTAGCTGAGGTGAGCTGAGTGCCTCCAACTAGCAAATGCACATCTACACCTGCTTTTGACACAGATGACTGAATAGCATGAACTTCCTGAGCAGTAAGTCCTCCAACAACATACACTATAATCAGAGGGTTGTCTAGAGGATGTTGTTGATGTGTTCTGTTCAATAATAAGCTGAAACACAAACAGTACATCATGAGAGAGAGAGCATCTAACTCATTAAGTACAATAAACAGCTTTCAATCCAAATTGAGTTTCTGGAAAATGCATTGAAGATTAAGATTTGTCCTCACTCCAATAGGAAATAACATAAAATTGACACAAATCCACACTTTGATTGTATCACTTCAGATTTGACGCTTATACAGTTTTCAACACAATGTAACAAAAAAATAAATATCCAGACAACCTACCCCAATTTTCTGACCAATCTCTTTGCCTAACAATTTTAAACAATA